AGCCCAAGCTGAGCAGCCGCTGAGCTGCCAACAGCCCCCCCAATTTCCCAATAAAAAAAAAAAAAAAAAAAAAAAGAAATTACATCTAAGAGCTTAAATACTACGAGGAAGTGGTACAGAACCGAAATTCTAGGTTAAAAACATATAGTTCTGCATTTAAATAGAATTTTTAAAATTTGAGAATTTGGACTAAAGACAGTAACAACTTCTCTCCGAGTTCTAAAAAAAAGATCTCCATGTACATTCTAATATCAAGGACATATGTGCTACAATTAAGAACTGAGGTATTTAAAAGTAATATTTGATGCTGTACTTTTTAAATTTTGTAAGAAATACTACCAATTCACACTTACATCACGCTTTACAGTTAAAACTGTAAACCATGCCGTCCATCAATAGTAATCATAAACTGTAAGGTAGGCAGAGCAGAATTATTATCCCCATTTTGCAAAATCAGATACCAAGGCTCAGAGATCTTAGTTTATGCACCCAAGGTCACATAACTAGCAAAAGGTAGAATCGGTACTCAAAGTCTTTAAGTCTTGTAATGATTTTTTCTTATGCCATACTACTTTAAAATAACTTACAGAGGCAGTAGACTGCAGATAAGAACAGAGCACTAGACTAGTAGTCTGAAACTGAGTTTAAAATGTCTTTAAAAAGTTAGAAGCTTAATTTTAATTCTATGGAGAAAACAGGTTGGTACTATTATTCTCAAAAGTATTTATCAAGTACCTATCTGCCTGTGTGAGAATTTTTACCAAGCAGCAACAGTCACATTCTCCCCCAAGCCCAAATCTCCATTTATTATTTATCTTGTGGAAATGAGGAGAGAAGAGGCAGAAGTTTTAGATAATTAGACTATACAAATCTTTGTAGCTACTGAGTCATGATTTTTTTTTAAAGATTTTTTTTTAATTGGGGAGTTGGGGGGATGGGAACAGTGCTGGGGAATTGGGGGAAGGGGAACAGACAAGTTGCTGACGTTTTGTTCTTCAGTCTAGTTGTGGAGGACGTTGCTTCACTGGCCCAAGTTGGCACCATCATTGCGCTCTTCCTGAGCGAGGCAGATCAGTCGCCGGCTCTGGACGGCCGCTCACTGCGGCTGCTGGCCGCTCACGCTGGCTGTTGGCTACACATGGTAGCCCATGGAAACCCAGTGCCACAGGGGCTGCAGCCTACGCCGTCGCCGGCGACTCACGGCAGTCCAGCTCCAGGTTGAGCTGTTGTTCAGCATCTTAGCTGTAGAGGGCAGTGTCACTGGCCCTCATATGTGGGATCCGAACCGGGGCCCTCTGGCATCCCAAGCCAGTTCTTAACCATCGCGCCACTCGCCGGCCCGAGTCATGATTTTTAAAACACTACTCTCTGATTCAGCTGGCAACTTAAAATCTTAAACAAAAAATCTATTTACAAACTTCTGAAATATAATTTTTCAGAGAATATAACATAAAAGCATGTTTCACTTACCGCTGGGGTAGGAGTCTATCATTAGCCAGGTAGCCTTGTTTGTGAATCTCTTTGTTATAATCTCCATACTTGGCTTGGACAGCATAGGAAGCCAAAAGGACTGCAGTTTCTGGTGGGCAATATATCTCATCATTTAAGATAGCTTCTTTAACTTGCAAGAAGAAAAGTCTTTGAGTTATTTCTTGAATTAATTCCTCAGAAACATCTTCAGGAAAGAATTTAGCTCTAAATTTGAACTGTAAAGGATTCTCTTTTTTAACATCTTGCTGTGTCACCTGAAACAGTAATTCCAAGTATAGTAAAAAAGAAGTCTTTTAAGTTCACAATAACTGAACCTAGTCACATCAAACTACTTTTGGAAGAAAGTAGGGTGTGAAACATCAGTAAGATTCAAGATGTATAAATAAGATTCGAGGTGTGTAAAAAGCATATGTGAGAAAAAAGATTCTATGCTCACGAATGTGACCTATAACTCAAAGATCCTATCTAGTGACCACACTGAAACTTCTCTTGAGAAGCTTATCCTGCAGATGTTTAAATCAATGTCAAAGTCAAAGTACTAAGTTACAGCTAGCAATATTTCTTATGTGTTCAGTTTTCAAATAGGAAAAGTGAACATTTCTTTTTCTAAGATGATTAAGTTGATGGTGCCTTACTGAATTAAAAGACATGACACCTTTAACGATTCACAGAGGTAACTGCAAAAGGAGGCCTGAAATCAGTCAGACCCTGAGCCTTTCTGGCATAAATTCATCATCATAACATCGAAATAACTTAAAGTTAGCTGAATGTAATTATGCATACTTTACCTTTTTATTTAGTTTGAGCCATGTAGAATAACCTTTGCTGTCCACATACTGCAGCCCAAAAAACCAGACCTCACGCAAACCAACTGTTTTTACCACCTTAAAAAAAAAAAAAGCCAATTTCAGTTCATATTCACATTATAACTAGATGGCACTATACTTCAAAACAAAACAAATAGGTATTATAGGTATAGTCCTTTGCTATAGAGAAACTCCTAAATTTAACATATTAGTTAAAGGAACATTTCTGAAAACTTAAATTCAGGTTTTGTACATTAAATTTTATGGTGTCATTTCAATCCTATTTGATGAACTTTTTTTATACCTCCTTTTCCTTCTCATATCCCATCATGACCCCAAAAGATAAAATGAAGAGTCTGGGAAACAGATACTGTGCTGTCATAATTCCACTTTCCTGTTTCAATTTACCCCCACAACTACACTATTGGTTAGTCAAGGCAAATAGTGTCATTTTGATGATAAGAGTCTCGGAGGACACTTAAATGACATGCCCCAGGTTATCCAGCTGGTGACTTCACCCCCACTCCTTCTTCACTTCACTCACCATCATATATTCTATGTTCTTCCCTCAATGAGCAAGAAACCATTCTTGGAACATGACATAAATTTTACCCTTCCACAGCTTTGCTCATGATTTTTCCTCTGCCTAGAATGTTTCTTCTATACTTCACCACCTGTTGAGGAATAATTTATTCCTCAAGGCCCAGCTCAACTAACATGCATTTTGTGAATGAAGCTGTCCTATCATCTAGATAAAATTAATCACTTGTTCCTTGATGTCCCCATAGTACTTTGTCTATATTGCTATTAGAACATTTACTCTATCATATCATAATTAACAGTATTAATAGTGAGTCTATTTACTCTCCTTGAGTATTTAAAACTAAGGAGATTATCTGCCTTATTCATTTTAATATCCATGCCATCTCAAAGAATGATTAGCCTGTGGTAGGTGCTCAAAAGTGTTAAACTAAGTGGTGAGCTAGGACACACACACACTCAGGATTGTACCAACATTTTAAATTGTATTTTAAAAACCCTATATTTAAAATAAAATGAAGGAATTGAGCCAGAGGAAGTGTAAGTTTATTGACATTTTATAAAAAAGATTTTAACATTTTACAGAAAGATCCAGCATCAGTTCGTAAGTGATAAATATTTTTGGCTTATTTTTTTAATCTCAAAACATGCCAGGCTTTTTGTTTCAAGATAGCAAACTGAACCGTTCAGTTTACTTTCCCTTTCTTGAAAAATTTCACTGAAAATCATTTCTCAAAAAACTTAAAAACATTTAGCTGTACTAGGGAAGGTTACCATCAAAAAACCCAAAATTGAGAAATTTCTGGATGATATAGGACATAAAAACTCATACCAATGCAAAAACTGATCAAAGCCAAACAACTAAAACATTAATGTGGACAAAGACCATCCCAGGTAATTTAACTTTGGCAAAAGACAGGTTGTCCCAATAGCAATAGAAAACATTCCAGCTCAGAGTGGCAGGGATAGGAAATTTACATAGGTCAAGGGCAACAGACAGAAGAAATGTAACTGGTCAGCTTTTGCCTCCAGGCTTTGTGTGATTCACAATGCTGGCCAAGGAAAAGGGGGATTTGCCACTGTGGGCACAGCGGGCAGCGCCTGAACTAACTTCAGGCTATCACAACAAATACTGGAAGAGCAAGAGAGCTCAGCTATGAAATTCCTTAAGGGGCCCTATCTACTCAGCAGCCCTCTATTTACTTTTAGAAGTGTTCTTGAAACTTTCAAACACATACTTCTGTAAGTTAAAGAAAAATGTCTGTGCACATAACTACACTATATTTATTTATAAATTATGCATATGCTATCACATTAATACATATTTTAAAAATAATCTGAAAGAAGAAAAGATAAAAATGTAAACAAACATTTTAACATTTTTTTCTTGTATCCTAACAGATCCTATTAAGCACTCTCCTTGGAGACATGAATATTGTCTTCTTTAATCCCACAGGTAGAAGCTAGAAGATGAGGCTAGTGAAGGAAGAGTCAGCAGAGAGCAAAGGACCTCAAGCACTTCATTAAGTAGAGCCCCCCTACACACAGCAGCTGGCCTCAATCTAGCATCATAATCAGAAGTGAGGCTTTGCTACAAGTGGACTCGTGTAGCTATGTACCCTCATTTGAGAGGACCCCTATATCTAGGTCTGCTCCTGGCATGACCCTGAACCTACCTACCTGCCGGCTCACCCCATATACTTACTACACCCAAGGTACAGCCTGCTTTTCGATCCTTGCATTCAGGCTCAAGAGAATTTGTGGAGAAACAGAACTGTGATTATTAGAAATAATTGCTGAGAGCCCATAAACGAAAACAATACTCCTTAATCTAGACCCTCACTTACAATATGAAATATATATATACGTGTGTGTGTGGATGGAAAAGGGGCCACAGGTTAAACCTGACAAGCTTAGGAGACTAAAACTAAGATGGCACGAACACATGCACAAAAAATTTTTAACTAAGTGCGCCATGGTGGGAAGTAATATCTTCAGCTTCCTCATTAAATTAATCTGTGCCATCTGAGTGGGCCTTGGTTGTCTTTCAGTACCTAAGATAACATCTTTAATCCTTTTTCCGGACCAGAGCTGAAAACTGCAAAATTTGTCCTTATTATTCTTGTCTCCTGATTACCATCTCTATGTGCTGTAAAAAGCTAACTGTTAGCTATCCTGCACCCACCTATGGAAAAGAAGTACCTGTCTCTCCAATTTACTTTTATCCAATCCTAGAGATTTCCCCCACTTTGCTTTCTCTTACCTACCCGTTTAATCTATCACCAATGGATTTCATGTAACTTCCTCCTTTGATTTTATGTATAAAATAAACTGCAAACCACCATTTTGCAGAGCATTTCCTCAATCCATTGAGATTTTGCTTCCCAGCAATTGTCGACAGTTTGACTCAAATAAACTCTTATAAGTTTTCTCTTAGGCTGGATGTTTTTCGTCAACAGTGTGTTTGTATGTTTCAAATACGGTTCTATGTACTTTATATGGATTCTCAGTTAATTCTCACAACCTTCTAAGGGTATATAATGTTATCATCCTAATTATACAAATGAGAAAAATGAGGCAGAGAGGGTAATTTGTCCAAAGTCAAACAATTATAGCTGAAACTCTACTGTAGGCAGGTGTGGCTCTACACATTACTGCACTATAATAAATATGGTTCCATTTTCCCTGGTACCCAAACTAAAGCAATCCTACCTCATAAAAGACAAATATTTTCTTTCTCAGTATCCAATACCAAAAAGGGCCACTTGCTAATTAGTTTTTGACTACCACGAATATTTCACTCACTATAAATAACATTTCAACTTGCTATGAAGTACAATAAATACTTATACACATTATTTTATTCAAATAAGATAGGCTATATATTTACAATCAGGATGCCTAGAAGAATCAATAGGAGTGATATTAGTTCACAAGGTAAAATATCTGTAATGGGTGGTGCATGTAGCTGCTTATAATTTTGTTTTAAAAATCTGCTCACTCATACAAAAAAGCCATTTTTGTCTTCCAAAAAGACCTATCAGGGCTTTCAAGATAATTAATTACCTAATCAGGGAATTAAGTATATCACTTTGTCAAGAAAAGAAATGACTTTCCAGGAATTTTTAAACTTTATTTCATTACAGGTTGGATCAGTATGTAATAGAAGGACACCTAATAAAACCAAGGTATCTGATAGGTTATTTAGTGCTGTAACGCCAGAAAGGCTCTCCCCTTGTTTTCTAAGGTCAAGTTAGCCTGACCACAGACAACGCGCTACTGCTCATTTGTAAAAGTTTATGTACAAGTTATCCTCCTCTAAGTCCCATGCCATGCAAGATACATCACATTCCTCCTCTTTGCAATCATCAATTCACCTTCTTAATCACTTGACCTCTGGGCACCAATCCCTTTATCCTCTTTTCCTCATTAAAACTTGATTACTTACAACATTAAACTCTTCAGAATGACCTGAGGAGCTTAAATAAAAATACTAATGGTTTAGAGTAGACCCCAGACAATTAAATCAAAATTTCTGGATGTGGTTTCCAAGCACTGCCTTTTTTTTTTTTTTTTTAAGTGCTACAGGTGGCTCAAGTGTGTACTCAAGTGAGAAAAAAAGACACGATCAGTAATCAAAGTTCCTTAACATGACACCCATGCTCCAACCCCAGCCTAACATATTATGAGACTATGACACCAAACTGCTGTTACCTACTCATAGCCTAGAATTTAGAATTCCCTATGCCTTGCTCCTGCTGTCACCTCTGTCTAGGATTTCCACCCATTCCACTACGCAGAATATCTGAATTCCTTTTAACAGTCATTATAATGATATACACAGCAAATATTAAATAATACCTGCTGGCAGTATTTTTAAAAAATCCCTCAAATGTAGGAATGAGAAAGAATAAGAATATTGCTACAGTTGTTCAAGATATCTGTGAATATTTTCAATACTACAATGCTGCATAATCGGTCAAGGTATACAAAAACCCAGAAAGAAGCTGCAATAGCATCCACGCTGTGGTGTCAGAAGTTGCACACTTCATGTGGTTAAATGATACCTGGTCAAAAAGTTGTTTGCCAGTTGTATTCGGCTGGATGGCAAATTCCAGCTCAGCATCCATTGTGGTTACTCTTACATTGATCTGCAATAAAAACAAGAGAGATAATTAATAGGAAAGAGAATACACATATTAAGTATTAGGCATGAGAAAATACTTTTATCTGATTTCTAAAATTAAGTGATACAATATGCAGGCAGTAAAGAGCAACTCCATAATTGTGCCTAATAGTTTCTTTATAAGATAGTGATAAGGTTTGATTTTAATCACAGGAAATCTTTAAACTATTTTAAAAACAAAGACCTTATGAAGTCCTCTTTTAAAAACATTGGATATTTCACATATATTAGGCAGTAGTAGGCTATGAGCTTTCCATATTTTCATTTATCCCCTGCAACAATATTAGGAGATATGTTCCTTTCTATAAAAATGGAACGAGTTTTCATTATTTGCCCAATGATACATCAATATCAAATGCAGAGCAAGTATTTAAATTGAGGTATAACTCGGAATTCTTTGAATGTCATTCATTATCCCATATTTCTTTCAACACAAAATCAGATAGTTGTATTCATACTACAAATGTATTCACTTTATAAAAAGCATTCATCTATTGCCCTTGGTTAGATTCTATTTTAAATTCTGGGTTTTTTGTATAAATACCTTTCTAGTTGGATATCTCACCAAAAACTTAATTAACATGCCTTAACCAAAATTTTAACTTCAGAGTGGCATCTTTACCTAGTACTCACCACGATGTGGTGTAAATCTTTTTAACTGTAACTCAACTATTAGAACTCTAACTCAGACTTATTTCTCCTTACATGTTTCATTCATTTTAAGTACAACCTCTGCACAAGTAGGTCTTATACCTTCTCTAATCAAATAAATCTTATAAATTATTCCTTCTTTAAAATACTATTAGGAACTGATACACATAAAACAATATGTGCAACATATGTAAACAATGAAGTATAATAAAATAAAACCTATTGTGATATAAGAAATACATGTTTGGCCTTCATCCTGGTTTCTGACAGAGCCCTAAAACGCTTGGAATTTCCTAATGAAAGATAAGAGAGGAGCATCTTTTGTTATTCATAATAAGCCCCTTTCTTCCATGCCAGAGTTTATGGTCATGAGTGACTCTAGGTGGACCCCTAGATGGCTTCAGGATGAGGGCTGGTAGCCAGAGAAACCAACCATGTGATTAGAGAAATCAACCAAGTGACTAGAGCCACCCACCCCAATCTTCAGAGACAAGAGAGGCTGGGAATTGAGTTCATTATCAATGCCCAATGAATGAATTAGTCATGCCCACATAATGGAACTTTCATAAAAACCTTAAAGGAAGGAGTTTCAGGGAGCTTCTGAGTTGGTGAATGCATCCACTTGCAAAGAGGATGGTGCACCCAAATTCTGTAAGGATAGAAGCTCCAGTGCTCAGGACCCTTCTGGACTTTACCTGTGTACCTCCTTCCTCTTCATGTGTATCCTTTATATCAACCAGCAGTAGTACCGTATTTGCCAGCGTATACGACGACTGGGCGTATAAGACGACCCCCTAACATTTCCACTCAAAATACAGTTTGTTATATACTCGCCGTATAAGACTACCCCCTCTTCCGCACACCTTCCACACACCAAATAAAAGGTAAAACAATATCAGATTTGATTGGCCCACTGAAGTGCAAACAAGCGTATTGTATTTCGTGTCACCACATAACCGTTTTGGCGATGTTGAGCCACCATGTCTGCTACATGTTTTTCGAGTTCTGGCCAGTGTGGGGTGCCTCTTCTTAATGCACACTTACCCCTTGGCATACTCTTTAATGCTTTCTCATTTGATTTCCAGTCCCGAACCATCTTTTCTGTTACTCCATATTGTCTTGCAGCAGCACAATTATTATTTTCCTTAGCAAAGTTTATAACTTTCAGTTTAAAATTTGCATCATACTTCTTTCTTTTGGCTGGTGCCATGATAGGGATGATAGGGGTTTGACTGGTCGACATTTTCTATGCTGTACTGTACAATGGTGCAGTATTGTGGTTGGCTGTTGGCTGTATACAAAGCCTGATTTGATTGGTCCCTGCTCCCTGTTTGCCCGCCCTGTCACTATAGCAGTCTGGTCCACCCTTGCATCAGCATCTCCCTGGGACCTCACTAGTGAGCAAGTGCGAGCTCTTCAACATTCTAACAGGCACCATGATAGCGCAAAATCGCGAATCTTCAATGCATAGGTAAGTCAAGTATTTCCCTGAACTCTGTGAGCTGTTATAAAAAATTATAGAAACTGAGGGGGGACCATGGGAACCCTCAATCTGTTGCCAAGTTAGACTGAAGTATGGGTAACCTTGGGACCCACTACTTGTGATTGGTGCCTAAAGGGAGGGGGCAGTCTTGTGGGACTGAGACATTAACCAATGGGGTTTGTGCTAAACTCCAGGTAGTTGTCAGAATGAATTAAACTGCAGGACACACAATTGGTATCCACACAGAATTGGAGAATTGATTGGTGTTAAAAACCCACACATTTGGTGTCAGAAATTTTGTGAGTAAAGAAAAAGTTTCCATTTATCCACAAATCTACAATCCAACTTAACTAGAAATGACAAATAATCTTGCATATACTAGTTTATTTCTTCTTTGTAAATTTCTGTCCCCAATCTCCCACAGGTAAACACTAACCTTAATTTTGTGTTTGTCATTCCCTTGTTTTTTAAAAAAATAGTGCTATCACAAATGTAGGTACCTATATGTAAAACATTTAGTTTTTCTTGATTTTTAACTATATTAAAATTGTACAGTACTTACTAATAAAGTCTTCTCGATGTGGGCAATGGTTACAAGAGTATATTTTACGAAAATTCATCAACTATATACTTACAATATATTTGATACATTTAAACAAAAATACTACACTGTAGTTTGCTTTTTCATAATTATATTTCTAAGATTCACTGATATTTTTGTTGAGTAGTTACAATTCATTCATTTTTACTGCTATGTAATATCTACATCAGACAATTTATTTACACATTTCCTGTCAATGAACATTAAATTGTTTCCAATTTTTGGCTATTAAGAACAATACTGTATGAACATGCTTACATATAGGTGTATGTGTGTCTGAGTTTCTCTGGAAGTATATATACTCAGAAGAATTCCTGGGTGATAAAGTATGCATACCTTCAACTTTACCACGTAATGCTAAATTGTCTTCCAACACAACAGTATCAACTTAAACTTTCATCAGTAGTGCATCAGAATTCCTGCTAATCTATATTTTTACCAACAGTGGGTATTATCAGATTTGTTAATGTCTGACAATCTAGTAGACGTAAAATACCTCAATGTGGTCTTAGCAGGCAAATCCCTGATTCCTAATGAGGCTGAAAACATTTTCCTATGTGTGGTATGAAGAATTCTAAGATGGTCCCCATGATCTCCATTCCCTGGTGTTTACGGTGTTTTGTTGCATATAATGCGCACTTTTTTGCCCAACTTTGTGAGGGAAAAATAAGGATGTGCATTATACATGGGTAGTACTAATTCCGTATCTATAGAAATATTTTCAATTCTTTTATTCATGCTTATGAGTTAAAAATGTAACTCTAGAAATCAACAATGGTGTCTGTATGCAAAATAATAGCCTGGAATACGATAATCGGTTTTGTTGAATTTAACAACGAACTTGCAACAACCAAGAGTTGTTGGGACTTCTATGATGCATAGATCATTAATTTGTTACAGGTACATAAAATTTCTTGTTCCTTGTATCTGTTTTTGTGTTTTGTAATTATTTGTCACATAAAATTTCTTGTACCATAATATATTAAAAAATAAATGATGGGCCGGCCCAGTGGCTCAGTTGGTTAAGAGTTTGCTCAAGAGTGCAAGCTCTGAGCAACAGGGTCTCCGGTTTGATTCCCACATGGGCCAGTGAGCTGCCAATGAGCTGCCAACAGGTGACAGGATGGCTCAGCTGGTGAGAACACATGCTCCTAACAAGGTTGCCTGTTCCAGATGGTGGGCTACGCCTGCCCACAACTAAAGACTGAACTCAGCACCTTGAGCTGAGCTGCCATCTGGGTGGCTCAGAGGATAGAATGTGTGCTCTTAACAAGGCTGCTGGTTCGACTCCCGCATGGGATGGTGGCTACATTCACCTGCAACTAATTGAACACAGCACCTTGAGCTGAGTGGCACGACTGGACTTGAAGCTGAGCTTGCTGCGCCCTCCACAACTAAGACTGAAGGACAAGTGGGTTGTTCCCCTTCCCTAATTCCGCAACACTGTTCCCCTCCCCCCAATTCCCCAATAAAATCTTTAAAAATACAAATAAATAAATGCTAAATTTCCTTTATAATACAAAAAACAAGTACCTAAATGTAAAATAAAAATCTGAATTAAAAAATAAAAACAAACGATTTTTTCCCCCTGAAAGTTTGGGCCAAAAACGTGGATGGTGCATTATACACAGGAGCGCATTACACACAGAAAAATACGGCATGTTATATTACATGACAAAAGGGATTTTGCAGATATACTTAAGGATACTAATCAGTTTGTCTTTTTGTTGTTGTTGTTTTAAAATTTTTTATTGAGGAATTGGGGAAGGGAACACTGTTTTTCCAGGACCCATTAGCTCCAAGTCAAGTTGTTGTCCTTCAATCTTAGCTGTGGAGGGCGCAAGCTCAACTCTAAGTCCAGTCACTGTTTCAATCTAGTGTGTGTGTGGGAGGAGGGGGCGTGTGGGCGTAGTCCACCATCCCGAGCGGGAGTTGAACCGGCAATCTTGTTGCACACTGAGCCATCTGTCTGCAGCTCGGGGCTGCTCAGCTCAAGGTGCCATGTTCAGTCTTAGTTGCAGGGAAGGGGTCGCCACCATCCCATAAAGGTGTCGAACCAGCAGCCTTGGTGCTAAGCGTGCTCTCACCAGCTCACAGGCCCATGTGGGAATCGAACCAGCGACCCTCTTGCTCAGAGCTCATGCTCTTAACCAACTGAGCCACTTGGCCGGACCCTCAGTTAGTCTTAAAATAAGAAGATTATGTGGGTGGGCCTAAGCTAATCACACAA